AGGGCATGGTCTGTCAACGGGGGGGGCGACCATCCATATATATATATATATATATATATCCTATATGTTGTAGTATAATGTAACATTGTAACATAACATAGTATTATCGAACAGAATAGAATAACACATCAGATTTTGCATATAACAAGCTATAAGGTTGTCTGGTATGATATACTGTTCTGTACCATAGCAGAGGCAGAAGCAAGTCTTGTTTAAATTATCGATATACAATAATAATCGTAGTCAATAACAGTTGTCTATCAATATATTAGCCACTTAAGTTCTGCATAATCTTGATACAGTATACATCTAGAATCATATAGAAATTCTAGTCTTTTTATTTAACATTGAACTAAGCTGTAACATGTTTTTGCAATATTGACAAAACTGTAAGTTACCATTGATTTAAAGTTTGCACAGTCTCAATACACATATCATAAGACCGAATAGCTCAATTTTCATCTCATCAACTCTAACCTAAGTCATGTCAATACGGTATGTTGCGGAGGCTTAAGCTCGTGCGGCTTTCCACCTGTATATTGCTTCGAAGCCCAATTGTACGTAAAGACTTGGGCCTCCGGCCCTTTTCCTGGTCCCCGAGCCCGCAGCCCCCGCACCCCCCTGCACCCCGTGGACCAAAATACAAAAGGCAAAAACCAAAAAAAAAATACCCTCCCAGCTTCAGCTTCAGCTTCGAGTTGTTCTCTTGCTTTGAGCAGACAGGATGATCCGTGCTCGCAAGATCCGGCCTCCTCCGGTCCTCGGCCTCCTGATCCAGGCGGAGGCGCTCGAGGATCAGAACTGCCGCCTCCGCCCAACAAACATGATGTCGCTTTGCACCGCTGCTCTGCCCTCTGTGCGCCTTCTTCTTCTTCCATTGGCCATTCCAGCCTTGGAGGTCACGCTCCAGCTCCTACCACCCGGCCGCCAAGGAGGCCGCCAGCTGCTGTCCCCAAGTCTCCCTACTTATTCACTTCATGTTATGACAGAATGAAGGAAGTGAATGAGAAGAGACATGAGAAGGAAAAATAAAGGTAATTAAAATGTAAAGGAAGCACGGCTCATTCTTTTCGTTTGCTTTCTTTTCACTTCTTTCGCTCCCTTTCTTTAACTTGTTTTTCTAAGTTAAGCAAGAGAAGCGAAGACGCACTCCATTTGTTTCCCTTGTATAAATTAAGCCCGTCCTCCAGGCTGGGTATCTCCTCGTCCTGAGCCTCCGTATCTCGTTGCCCCAGCCCTTCCAGTTCGTGGGAGCTGCCGACGAGTGCACCAAAGCGCAAAAAAAGATCAAAGGTCAAGCTGCCTCGCTGCTTGCTCAAACGTCGCAGATTTCGCGTCTCTGCAAGTGCATAACCTTGACACCATCAATTGAAGTTCATCATCCCACATGTCCGCGAAACAGCGGGGAAAATGGCCTCCAGATTGTGGTGTTAGGCTTGTGGTTTTTGAAGGTGTGGCCGGTGCCACCGAAGGTCCTCCAGCACGTCTTCGACTCGCTGACTCGCACACTCGCACACCGGCAGGCACGGCTTGACGATGAAAGTCCCGCAAGTGCTATAGCACGTCTTAATGGCAGAATGTTCGCATGGTGAGAAAACTTGCAGCACCCGGACCTCCTGAGTGCCTCCTGGTGCACAGGGATAGGAAGAAAATCCAAAGCTGCATCAGAAACAAAAGCATTTGCCAGCGCAGACGTTGATCCTCGCACTGAGCTGCGGCACGAAGCTTCCTGCCGTCACACCATGCAGGAATTTGCATATACTTGCACACTACTTCTCACTGCTGCACCAGGCTTTCACCTCCGCGGCTGGGTAGCAGGTTTGGCAGCTGCACCTTTTCCAGGTCCAGCTCCGGGGCCGTCCGCCGGCGCGCAAATGTCCGCATGGCATGCGAAGTCAAAAGGCCCGCGACGTCAGATGACGTTAAGGTAATGCGGCAGCCATCTAAACGTGCTATACGAAGGCAAACCTCAACTAGGATTCCAAGTTCCTCCTTACTATCAGAGAAGACTGCCGGTCTTCAGCAGCCTCGACCTACCTTCTTGACCCACAGGTGCACGAAAAGATCAGCAGGCACCATGCCCAGATTCTGCCACAGCCCTTCTGCTGACCTCCTGTCCTTGGAGTCGCCCAGACTTGAAACACCGACACTGAGTCAGCTGAATATACGACCTCAGACGTTTAAAAGAAGCCAAAAGAAGAGTCAATCAAAAGACGTCATGTCTCCGTGCAATCAGCGTCCCACTGGCTGGTGGAGGCACCGATAAACTTCTCTTGCAGGGTGCCCTCGTAGGTGAGCTTCCCTGGTTCAGAAACACATAAGCCCCAAGCATAATGCAAACTCGTTGCAAATACACGGCAACTTAATTGTGCGTCGTCCTACACAAGTGTGCGATTACACTGAGGCCGACACCAAGCTGCGGGTGTGTGTACTGCACGCTGACGTAGGACTGCGCGGCGACACCGAAATGCATACTTGACACGAAGCGCATGAGTGCTATGGCAGCAACAAGGTCGGCTGTCCAATCACTTCAGATCCACAAATGCACACATCACATCAGCATCGCTGCATGTTAGGTTGCCTTCAAAGAACCCCCTCTTGTTGAAAAACTCGAGTCAGTCAATTTTCACCCCCCCCCTCAATCAAAAAACTTGATCCCGAAATCTCAATAAGAATCGCTCCTGGAAAAGCACTTGGGAGCTTCGGACCTCTCTTTTGTCAGCCCTCCAGAGAGTCGCCGAGTGTGTTGGCGTAGTAGTACTCGGGGCCGGGAGGCCCCCCTCCATAGACAACCGACCCGGTCGGGCTTGAAATCAATCCCCCCAAGAGGGTGTGGGGGTTATACTATTAGCAACCTAACATTACAGGCATACTTGACGTCATGTTCCCTCTTTGCACGGGCGCATCTTGTCTCGATGACCCTGCGTCCGGTTAGAAAAGTCTGTTCATGCATGTCAGATGCACGACTCGTGCGTGCAGCACACCATAGCCTCAGCTTTCACAGATTCCTACAAGCGACAAGGCCAACTTGCGAAGGGACAGAGGCACTCATGCAGCGCTGATTTAACTTGCTCTTGTTCGCCTCCATTCTGTAATTTTCAAATCATGCGTGGGACGATTGTACCCCTCAGGATTCGTAACACTTTGAAGCTGCCAAGGAACTGAGCAGATGCGCCATCGCAGCCAGCCTGTCCCAAACCTCACTAGATTGGTCACTGAAACATCGTGAAGTCAATGCGGGGTGGCAGCAGGCACTCGCCGGATGTCAGGGCAATTTGGGCTTGAGAAGCTTTTCTTTCCAAGTCGTGTTCTCTGAGAGTCTATCTGCCCAACCCTTTCGGCTGGAGCTGTGCAGGAAAATGCGTAGGTCGCATTTAGAAAGATGTACTTCCTGGGGAAGACTCAACGACAGCAGGAGAGACTCAAACCCAAATCATTGGGGCAGCAATTGCCGGCCAGACCCGCGCACTGACTATGGCGAGCACAAGATGACTCTGCTGCGACTGTGGGCGCTGGAGTCGGGACGGGCTGCACGTTGGGCTGCGGGGGAGGATGCGATTGCTCCCATCGATGCGCGTCGTCTGCAGCCGACCACTGAATGTTCGGTGGGAAGAGGGAAGGGTTTCGCTGGCATCCACCATACCCGCCCTGGCCGGCCATGTACACAAAGCCTGGGATGCAAAGACATTTGTTGTCGTCCGAGCAGGTCGTGAACTTCTGGTCGCAGTCCTTGAAATAGCATGTCGCGCCTGTGTCTTGAGGAGAGATGACCTGGGCATGGCTGGCAAACAAAGTAACCGTAAGTAACCCAACTAACCCAACCCTCTCTCAAACCACCTCGCTTCTCGATTCGCTCTGTCACACGTCAAGCCTGGGCTTGCATTGCACAGCAACTGAGCGCGGGACTTCGCGTCCTGCGGGCGTGTAGCGGTGCACGCACTGCTTTAAGCGAGGGTTCCACACGTGATCTGCCTTGCAGACGCAGCGGAAGTGGTAGCAATCTGTCGGACCCAAGTTGACGTCACACTTTGACCACAGGCAGGTGTTGCTGGTCTCGCGAGCGCCCTGCCAAGCTGCTGTCTCGTTCAAGCTTGCCTCGCTTGTGGCCCTCGTCTGGCTTTGCAGTAGGGACAGAGAACAATCGGGGCCAGCACACACATCATCCACCAACAAAGCATCTTCCAAAGCATGAACACAAAGTGCCTGCAGCATGACTTTCAGAATAAGCTCCATCATCTCCAAAGCTAAAACGCTGTCAATCAGGGGAAGAGGCTCGAGCTTTGCACGTAGTGCGAAAGCCGAAACAGCTGCGGCGGGCGACAATGCTTCAACAACACAAGCACAAGCCTTTCACAAATGTGGGAATTCGATCTTGCCGCAGCCTAGTAGACCGGCCCGAGGGCCAGAATTATCCTAGTGTCGTCTTGCCAGCAGATGCCAACCGTGGGGACAGGAGACGCCAGGTCCATTGCAGGTACAGTAGCAGCAAGACCAGGGCATCAATTCACCCATCCCAGGCTGCCCGAAACCGCCACTTGCCAACTTGCAGCGAGAGTTGGCAATGCACCAGTGAGCTGCCTTGAAACACGGTCCAACTTGGATGGTGAACGTGGATCCCTTCCCCCCAAATGCGCATCTCTCTCTCTCTCTCTATAGCAGGCCAGAGGAAGCAGGGACGTCCCCCCCGCTCTCTCTTTCTCTCTCTCTATCTCTCGCTCACTCTTTCACTCTCTTCTTCTACACAGTACTCTCTCTCTCTCTCTCCTCGTGTCTCTCGCGCGTCCCAGTAGGTACGATCCTTCTGGCCGTGTTGGCCGGTCGGTGAAAAGGTTCGCGCGGAGGCTCCCCTGTTGAACAGCGAAGTGTTTGGCGAGGTTGAGAATATCGAGGCAGCAAGCGGTTGGTGCATTCAAGATCCCGAATTTGAAGCTCTTACAAGGATAGGGTGGGGTGTGAGAACGTCTTGCTAAGCTGCCTTGCCGTGGTCACGTAACGTCAGCAGACCTGGCTTGCCTCCAAATTTCAGAGGTAGCCGCTACTGCATCCCAAGCCTTCGCATGAGTTGACGAAGGATTTACCCCGGCTTGGCACGCCAGGTCTGAGAGAGGGGTGGCACAAACCGCAGCCCTCTCTACTCCGAATAACCAAGGACCATTAAAGTGCATGCTTGCCCGAGGTTAATGACAGGAACAAAAAAGTTGAATCATACAGCACTAATAGTTGGCTGGGATTTGTCGATGGTGATCGCCATATTTTACAGGGCACCTTAGCAGCCCTTAGAGTCCTTTCGATCCTCGGCAGAGGCATGATTCGTTGCCCTGCAGCTTGTCACATGCACTAGCTTTGGACAACATTCAGTCACTAACGGTGCCGACATCATCAGAAGTTGTAGCAGGTCGAGCCCGGGAGTTCATCAGCTGCAGGGCGCGTGAAACGGATAAGCGCATGCCGGTCGCGGGACGCTCAGTCCTCGGACGTGAACCACTCGACGAATTCGAAGAACTCGATCTCACCGCTGCCATCGCTGTCGAGTTCTCTGAAGGCCTGGTCCAACTCCTCCTCGCCAAGCTCCTCGCCAAGCTTCTCCAGCAGCCCCTTCAGCTCCTTCACGTCGATGTAGCCGCTGCGGTCTTCGTCATAAGCATCAAACTCCTGTTTCAAGTAGCACAGGTTGTTGAGCTGAATGCCCATCTTATCTGCCATTCCTTGAAGCTCCTCTTTGGACATCTTGTATCGTTTCAAGAAGATCTCGTTGATTTCCTCGTCTGTGGGACCGATGTCGTCATCCAGCTCTGAATCATCCGAGCCCCCAGAATCTTCAGCATCTTCTTTGCCGGGCCTCTCGAGCATCTCTTCGTAGTTGAGCTCCCCAGCCGGCACTTCGCTGGCAGAGGCGGCAGCGGCCTCTTCGCCCTGGCGCTGCTCTGTGCCTCCCGACTGCTGACCTGCAGCCGTGCCCTCGGTTCGCCGCGGGCGGCGGCGTTTCGCAACAGAGGCATTGGCCCTGTCGCGAAGCTCTTGCCTGGACCAGGGGTGAGTCATGAGGTCTTCCTCGTCGTCACTCGAATCCTCCTCGCGGCCCGCGAGCGCAGCCCGTTGATTCGGGCCCTGCTCAAGGAATGCATTTGCCGCGGAGGGCAGCTCGCCTTGCCGCACGAGGGGCGCCGGCTGCGCATTGGGCTTCTTGGGCTGCAGAGCCAACACCTGGTTGCCCACGGTGTACTTGTAATTCTTCGTGGGGGTGCGGAAGTGCCGGGCATCCTTAGCATCTGGGAGGAAATCCTTCCACTGTGTCAAGGTCTTCTCCACATAGGTGAGCCATCCGAATAAGTTCTCGCCTGTGCTACCGAACTCGGGAGCTGCAGCGCCACCAAAGCCACGGTTTTCCCTCTCCACGGTCTTTAGAATGGCGTGAATGACCGGCCTGCAGCGATCAATGATCTCGGACTGCTGGGCGGCCTGCAGCTTGTTGTCCTCCGTGGCAGCACCTGTGCTCTCAATCTGAGCATTCAAGTCTGTAAGTGCCAGGGCCCGCTTCTTCTCGCTCTCTGCTTCGATGTTCTGCTGATTTGCCAGCTGGTCCTTCAGCTGACGATTCTGTTTGTCCAATGCTTCAATCTCGCGATTCAAGGCATTCACATAGGTCAGCAAGCTGAAGTTGCGCTGCTCCAGCGCCACGAAGATCTTGACGATCTCCTCGATATCGGAGATGCCGGTGGTGGACTTGATGGTGGCAAAGGCCTGCTCGAAGACCTCGATGTTCTTCTGATGCTGGCGAATGTGCCTTCTCTGAATTGCATTTAAGAAAGCCAACTTCAGGATTCTCCGCATGACCAATGTTGAGTTGAAGTGCTCCTCCTCATCTGCCTTGAGGCTTTTGGTCTTGCTTCCCTTGCCATCGCCATCGTCCCTCTTGTCGGAATCCTTGACCATCTGCACGCGCTGAGTCAGCTCCTCGCGCTCCTTCTCCTTGTACTTTTGCTGTAGCTCTTGGACCTTCTGCTTGAAGACCTTGCGCTCCTCTTCCACCTGCTTCTTAAGGGCCGCCATCTTATGAGCTCGCTCCTCTTGATCCCGGCGTGCTGCATCGTTCTCGCGGTGGATCTGAGAAACCATGCTCATGTTGTCCTTGATATCCTGCTGGAGTTTCTTGAAGACCTGAATTAATTGAAGTCTTTCACGGCGAACTGCATCGATTCGGCTTCGGCATTCCATGTTTTCGTGGCCCAGAAAATTCAGCTGGGCGATGGCCTTGGCGAGCTTGTTCTCAAGCTTTTTGAGAGGTAGACCCGATGTTGGCTCCTTCCGAGTCTTTGTGGTCTTCTCCTGGCACTCTTGCCGCATTCGTTGGGCATCCTCGTCCAACTTGTTCAACCTTCTCTTCTCCAGCTCCAATTTCCGCGTAGTCGACTCGATCTCATTGTGCATTCGCTGCAAGTGATCCTGCAGATAGGCTTGGTGGGCTGGCAGAGCTCGTTGTGCTACTGCGCGCTGGGATGGGTCCCCATCGCCGCTGTCCTGTCGCTGCATGGCTGCAGCAGACGAGCAAACCTCCGGAAACACTCTGGATCACACAAAGAGGAATTTATGCCGGGCTGCTGGGCGGAATTGCAAGTTGCAGTTGGTCTGAAGGGGCTGGGTTACACTACTATGGATGCGAAGTTAAAGTGCCTGTCTGATGACTCGCACAAGCCCCCTGGAACCGACACGGCCGCAAAGCAAGCAACGTCTTCAATGCACCAGAACGGCTTCACGTTTGAAAAACTCAGGAATCCTATAGTCCTTGCGTCGACTACCAAGAACGAGTACTTCGCACACCTTGCAACGCTGGGATCCCGGCAGACATGCAAAGGATAAGGTTTGAAGCTGCTTGGCCCAAAAACAAACGACTGCGGAGAAGGGCTTGAACATGCTTCGACCACCCCATGCAGGTTGCTATCGACATCGAACTTGCAAGGGAAGATTGCGACACTGAAGCAGAGCATACAGCGAGACATTGTAGGAGCACCCCTTCATCGATGTTTTCCAGCTCCTTCGAGATGTCCTGAGACCTGCACACGGATCGTTCACTTCAACACGTGTGCGGCACAAGCATGGTTCAAGGTAAACACCTGAGCTGCAAACTCAATCTCTCCCTTGAGACCAGGGAGCAGCAAACGCTCAAGCTGCTCCGGGATCGTGGGTTTGCCTGTCATGGGCTCACAGAAATGCTTCAAGCCGCACGCGTTTTCTCCCACCTTCTTTGCCAGCCGCCTCGAGCAGCGAAAAGACCCAGTCCCAAACAGGACATGTCACACATGCAGACGGTTGAACCTCATCGCTATCTTCCTCGTCGGAACCTTTGTCCCCACCTCGACGGTCGACACTGAGTCATGCCCATGTACACATGGCAGACTCCACTCACTTGTTGCATCTGGCCTTTGCTTGCAGCCATCATCGCCGCCATACCCATGGCACCCATAGCCATGCCCATTGGGTTCATCCTCCACGGCTTATCTCTGCATTCAACCCACTGGCGATAAAAACCGTTGTTTACGCATGTATGTGTGTGTATCCATGCAGCATGCATACATGCATGTATGTATGCAGTGTAAGGGTGTGTGTCTGTAGGTATGCATGCATACACGTCTGAATGCATGGATGTGTGTGTGTGTGTATGTGTGCGTGTGGGGGGGTATATGTTGTGCTACGCTGTGTAATGTGCTGCCCTGCTCATGTTTGTTGCGGTGATATGTTCCGCCATGTTTCGGTGTGTTGTGTTCTGCTATGTGATGGTGTGTTACAGTACTTAGGGTTATGTTGCGTTATGAATGTACTGCAATGTAATGTGGCGTCATGTTACGACCTGCTATGCTAATGCTGTTTTTGCCTGTGCTCTATCTGCTATGCTATGTTGTGCTACGGTTTGCTATGTTCTGCCTTGCTTTGTTATGCTATGGCTTGTTCTGTTTTGCCCGGTTGCACTACGTTGCACTGTGCTATGAGCATAATGTGCAGTTCAGATTGGCATATGTTAATTTGTGCCACTGTGTGTTAACATATGATACATCCTGACATGTTGGCATACTTGACATATCTCGACTTATGTTGATATATGAGTCTGTGTTGTGGCATGTGTAGGAACATCACCGTATACATGTCGATATACGTTATTACATGTTTAATACATGCTGGTGTATGTTGGTTTACGTTACTATGTGTTGATATTGGTTTAGTTTCGTGAATGAAGGTCATGTATGTGGATATGTGTTAATATATGTTGCTACATGTTGACATATGCAACCGTAAGACATGTTAATGTATGCTAACATATGTTAATGTACGTTAATATGCCTTAGGACATGTTAACAATTGTTGATGTATGAAAAGGTATGTTAAGATCTGCCACTATACGCTGGAATATGTCAATATACATTCACACTTGCTTTTCTATGCTAGAGAATATTGATGTGTGTCACCATGTGTTGATACATGTTGAAACATGTTCTAGAAAAAGACAATATCTGCTAACACATGTGAATATGTGTGGATAAATGTTAAGATATGTGAATACATAAATATATAGAGAGGGAGAGAGAAACCATGGCATTGCCTTCTATATATATGTATATATATATATGTATATATATATATGTATATGTATTAACAAATGTTATATGTTAAAATGTGCTAGTATATGTCTTTGTTGAAGTGTGTTCTCACATGTCTATATGCTTGCACATATATACATATGTATATGCATGTATGTGTGTGTTGGTATATGGCGAAAAACCAAAATATGTTGCGATGTATGCTTATATGTCACTATCTGACCACAAAGGCTCATTTACTCTGCCGTATGTTTACTTTATGCTAATATATGTCAGTATATGTGAATATATGCTTCTGTCTGTACCATATGTTTTTTTGTGCTAGTACAGTATATGCTATTACCTGCCCATACATGCTAATATGTGACAACACATTTTACTGTGCGGTGCTAGAAGTTAGCATGCAACAGCATGTGTTAGTATATGTGACTAACTGCATCATGTATAATGGTTTTTGCTGCTGTATGTTAGTATATGCCCATATACGTTCATACACGAGTTGCTAATATGTTGACATATGACAGTGGTACCACCACCTTTCCACCCCAAAATCCTGACCTTTAGTGTGTCGGTTTTGTCTTGGTTTGCCACACATATCTCGCATCTGTGTACACGTACATGCAAATACGGATGTACGTGGTGACATGCTTGTATCTGCGCATGCTGTAGAAGACAAACGTACATCCGGAACGAGCGCACGCAATCAAGTAAGCAGCAACAATCACCCTATTCCCCGAAGCAGTCCCAAAAAAACAACACAAATACCAAACCCCATAGACCAAGAAATTAACATGTCTCGGAAGAAACCTGAGATAAGCACATATCTCAAAGCAGTCCGAAAAGCAAAACAAAGAATCCAAGCTATTCGACGCAGCTTTATGTTTGCTTTTGAGACTGTCTCGACAAATTGCCTACTCCAAGTTTCGGGGTTTTTCGGGCTGCCAAGAGATGTGCTCATTGGTTGGCACATGGATTTTGGTATTTCGCTTTTTTTGGGACTGCTTAGTCTGCACATGCCTCCTGTACTGACGCAGTATGTTTCTTTATCTACTGGTTTGTTTACTTGCTTGCTGTGTACCTACTTGCATAGGTACGAAAATACGAGTATATACATGTACTAACAAGCACATATATAACATAAAAACTATACATAAAGCATATGCTAGTATACACTAATATATGCTAATATACACTAAGCTAACTAGTAAACACTAATGTATGCTAATAAAACCCTCTCGCCCTGCCAAAGCCGTAGCATATATACGCATGTATACTAATATATAAACTAACTTATACTAACGGATACTCATGTATATATATATATATATGAATGTATACTAACATATGCTAAACTAAAAATTTTCTTAGTATGTACTATTATACATTAATATACACTAATGTGTACCAATATATTGTCCCTCGCGCTCTACCATTCATTCCCTTACCTGTGTACAGTTGCTTAAGCAATTATTCATACTGGACAATATTGATATAAACCTATACATGTACCGCACCAAAAACCATGCTGCTTCAAAGCCAAGCACATGCCCATCATGGGGTTCGCCATACCCATCATTGGGTTCATGCCGCCCATCATGCCCATCATCGGGTTCATTCCAACCATCATCCTGAGCTGGTGTGAGACTCTTGTAACCTGTACCTCTGTATAGAATTGTGTAGAATCTCAAAGGTGCATACCGAGTCCCAAGCTGGTTGGGCATGCCACAACCACAGCCGCAACCACAGCCACAGCCACAACCACAACCGCAGCCTGTCATTGGATTGCAGCCTTGCCTTGCCAGGCCCTTGCCTTGGTTTGCCCTTCGCTCGCGACTGCGGCTTTCGAATTCGCACTTCAGACCTGACGACATGAAATGTCGGGCCTCCACAACCACAGCCACAGCAGCCTCTCAAAACTCGCACACTCCACTTGAAAACCTGTAGCCAAGTTGCATGATCTATGCTAGAATGGAAGGCCCCCCACAAGCCGGATGTCATGTGCTTGTTGGAAACGTTAATGCATAGAGGTCAGGCCTGGGCAAGCTCCGCAGCCACACCCACAGCCAGTGCAACCACAACCTGCACCTCATGCACTTAGCTTATCTTCAACAAACAAACTTGGGGATTGCTTGAGAGCTTCTCATGGGCTGTCTGTTAGTGATAGTGCTCGATTTCAGGATTTGCTTCTCGCTGCCTCTCGCTCGCTCGCATCAAGACCACACACGTTCATCAATATGTCAGTCGACTAGCTTTAGTTCACCTTTGTTTGCCTGTTTCCAGTACTGCTGGGTGCCTTGATCCACATCTCTCATTCATGCCTCCTCGCCTTCATATGTTTGATCTTGCCTTCCTGAATACTTTGCTTCGGCCGATCAAAGCATCAGCGTCCTCCATGCTCCAACTATCGACACTGCTCCGCATCTTGCCGAGGAAGCAGCCACAACAGCTGCCGCAGCCGCTGCAAGGATTGCAGCCGTATGCGCAGCCGCAGCCGTTAAGACCACTCCCGCAAGCTGTGTTTCCACCGACGGCTGCAGCACCCATGCTTCCACCGCCTCCTTCCAGGCAACCACGCCAGTTTGCATGGAATTGCAAGTGCACGGCAACCGACACAAGCTTTCTGACATCTTTGGATTTTCGCCCTGCCTTGACACGCCACGCCTCCAGCTTGTAAAGCTGACGTACCTCCAGCCTGGGCAACTGAGCTGTTGACCGACACAAACATTAAACAGCAACAGCTATAACTGAAGCATACTGAAGCCAAGCACAAAGCTTTCATGCGATTTTGCGCCACATCGATCTCGCCTTGTTGCCTGTGGCGGCTGGAACTGGAACTTGCAAGAAACAACGGGACTATGACTATTGCCTCCTCTCGGCTGGATCCATGTCATCAATGAAGGCATCATACAATCGCTTGATGCCTTCCTCGGAATACGCACAGTGACACTTAAGGCTTGGTCTAGGAAAGCTTGGGGCTGCACAAATGCGACTATCTCATTCTCCTTCCCGACAGCTAAGGCGTTCTTGAGCTCGATCTCGGACATTGGCGAATCGCATGGATGCACGACCACATGCAACATGCAAAACAACCTTCAGCCGCCCCCTCAAAACTTCCAACTACACGATTGAAGGGCATGCACACGATAATGCTGAGACACAAACATACGACTCACGGTCCGTCCCGCCGATGCGGCGGTCCGCCATCACCCCCTCGAAATGTAGTTGGGAGCCTTTGCCGTCCTGCACGCGTTGTCGTTGCCGCACAGAACCTACACCAAAACTGTGCGTCCTCTCTGTACGACACCCTGACATAGCTACCCATTTTTATGCCTGGTCACCGGTTGAATGTTGCGTTTCTGCCGCATGGACTGTGGCATCCGCTACCCTGGCCTTTCTTTTTTGCTAAAAGCGTGCGATTGCTCACCTGGTCCGATGGCACGACATGCTAAAATCAAGGCGTTCTGCACTGGCCGTCCTACAGGCAAAGCTGGTGTTGATCCCTCGGTTGTCGCATCCTTTCGAGCCCCTGACCCCCTTAGGTGCCATGGCTGGCGACGAGGTGATGGTGAGTATCTGAGAAGAATGACTAGCTGGACACGGGATGTGAAAGAATATGTTGGACGCATGACGCCGGGCTAGAACACATCGACAATCTACTTGAGTTTGTTTGTTACAAACATGCGACAAACAGAAACTGCATGCCAAATCTTGGTGGAAACGGGCTGGAAACTTTTCTGTTGGCTGGAAACCATATCTCAGTGACACGCCACGTGATGGTGCACTCTGCTACAAAGTACAACTGTAAATGATACCGGCGTAAACAACATGTGCCTGTCATGCTTGGGCCAGCTGCTGGATCAATGCAGCCATGGATGGACGTCGGCGGTGTTGAAAACGACACGTGCGCGACTTGCCTTGATGGTACAATCGTTCTGACATCCCGTAGAATCCCGTAGAATCCATTGCTGATGTTGCATCATGTGCTGTAGAAAACTTGTTCACACCCCTGGTTTCCGGCTATAGGTCCACCTCCTGGCGGAGGCTCGGTCCCGTCTTCGGGGCGGCCAGCTCAGAGGCAGGCGGCTCGCCATTCTGGGTCGGCCAGGTCCAAGACCTCATCAAGGGCCGGCGCAGCAGCATGTGCTGGTCCCGGCTTGGCCGAGCGCCCTGCCGCTGTGTGACCAACGGCCTGTTGGACGGCAACAGAAAGCACGCTCCACCAACGGTTGGCCCACGCAGCTTTTGCAAAGGCTCGCACAGCCGGGGGAGCTTTGTGCGCGCGGAGGGCGGCCATGCGCGTGACCAGCTGTACTGCGTGGGCGTCCCACCGCCCACCCACTTCGACCACGTGTCCCTCAAGTCCAACCACTTCGGCGGCAACCTTGCACCAAGCCCGCTCAACAAGCATGGCTCGCCAAGCCAGGAGGCCAGGCCGGGGGCACGCGACTGCATGGTCTCCGAAGGCATCAACGCGACGGCCGCACCCAGGTCCAAGCGCGAGCGGCAGTGAGAGCCGGAGCCTGCGACGCAACGCGATTTGCATTGTGGGGATCGCTGGGGATGGCCTGCATGGAGCTAAACAGCGGCGTGCGGACCAAGCTGGGGGCGCAAGAGCGCGGTGGGGAGGCGGTAGCAGCACATGGTCGCGGAAAAACAAGTTACGTGTACACCGTGCTCCCATGTGGGGGCGCGGGCTCCTTGCGCCGCGAGCTTCGAGGTCGGGAGGGACGGTCCGGAGCACGTGGTTACCACGGGGCGCATCGCGGAAGCTGGGGAAGAGAAAAATCCGTTAATGACCATGTGTCATGTGTCATGGTCAAAGCGTGCAACATATTTACTTGTGCATTTTTTTTGTTTCCTTGCGCCTTTTTTTCCAACGAACCTTGTTGCTATCGTCCGAAGCAGCGCGGTCCCGGTGCAGAAGCCCAAAGCCAGGGCAACAGACTACGGCAAAGAGCATAGAAGCGCAGAGCGCTTTCACACCACACGGCTAGCAAGCGGCGGCTGGGAAGGCGAGTCGGCGAGGATGTCGCTCAAAGGTGGTACATCCCCGTCAACATTGGCCGTGCCGGTGACGGGCAGGGACAGCAGGCTGGCTGCGAAAGAACGCGTGGCAGCGAAGGAGAGGAGTGCAGACCAGCGGAGAGTGAAAGCCGAGATGGCAGCAGCACGCGAGGGTGGTGGCGCTGACCGCGGCCCCGGCACTCCAACGCCCCCCAATCTCAAGGGCTATGACCGTGAGCCGGCAGCGGTTGGACCTGCACAGCTCAGGGTATGTGCGCTCTTTGGCTCTTCTTGCAGTGAGCAAGGCCGCTGCGCCTTTTTGCGGGTCCAGGTCCCAGGTTTACGCCCGCGTGGTGGGAGAGGGCGCTCGCCAGCTCACCGCGTCAGCGAAGCGGCAGCCTGCTGGGGGCGCTCGCCTTCGCGAGGTCAAGCACGTCGCCCAACGGGATTGGGCCCTGGGCGCCCGGCAGCGGCGGCATCAGGGCCCTGACGAGGACGACGCATGGCCTGCTGCCCGTGCGGTCGCTTTCTTGCCGCCGAGCTTCGCGGGCCTCGGCCAGCGGGTGTCGCCTGCAGCCTATAGGGGGAGGCGCTGCCGGTCCTGCGCGCACGCTTCCCAGAAGTCGTTGACGGGCTTGTGCGCGAGCTCGAGGGCGAGCCGGCGCGGCCTTGCTTGCGAGCAGCAGCAGCACTTGCCGCGCGCCGGCTCGTTGAGGCAGGCTGGGATGCTCGACCGGCTTGGGACGCTTGTGCCCGTGGCGCAGGCAATCCGGCCGTCGACGGAGAGCTCGGGCTCGGGAACCCCGGTTGGCAGCAACACGCCGTTCTCGCACTCCACACTTCCTTTCGAGAACGCGTGCTGCTGCAAACCTTGACTCCGGCCGCTCGAACCCTTCTTCACTCTCTGTCAGACACGCATGCGGGGATGTGGCTGGCGGCGATCCCTTCGGATGCTGCCTCCACCCATCTCCACCCTCATGCCCGACCTCATGCACATAGCAATTAGGCCCGCGCCGGCTACAGTGGCTAGGATTCGTTGCTCTCGGCGTGCCCATCGGTCATCCCGACTTCGTCGGCGCTCACGCCGCTGGCCGCTTCGAGGATGAGGCCGACCTGCTCCAGAAACTGCAGCGCCTGATCTACAAAGCGCGTGGCTTCTGTTGGCCTACTGCGCAGCGCCTCGGGCGCAGCACCTGCTTCGCAACGTTCCCCCGGCAGATATACTGCCCTATGCCCGCGCCCACGACGCGGCAATTTGGAATGTTGTCGAAGGCTTGCTTGGCGGTGCACCACAGAGCAGGCGACAGCGCGTTGCAGGGCGACGGACAAGACGGGCGCGCAGGGGTCGCCCTAGACGCTGCTCGCCGGCGCAAAGTCGCACGCTACCCAGAACTCACGCGCGGCGGATCGCAGCGGCTTGTCGTGCTCGCCGCAGAGGTCGGGGCCCGCTGGAACGACGAGTGTCAGCAGTTCCTTCGCACCCTGCTCCGGCTTCGCGTCCAGCGCGCCCCACCCCCCTTGCGCGCGTCCACGGCACATGGCTACATGAAGGATCGTGTTGTTTAGTATCTGAATGGGCGGGTTGCGGTGGTTAGTAAAGCCTGCAAGTGAACTTATAATCGGTCTATCTTGACTTATAAGTGTACCATGTTGGGTAAGTGTGTTTCTGAACTTAGTAAGTGGCGGAGGGTGATTATAAGTATTTGTTTGAGTTGGTAATTATTTGACTTATTTATAAGTGACTTAGGACAAGTCCTGTAGCTGGAAGACAAGTACTTGGGCAAAGTTAGACAGGTTATCTAAGTCATTTATAAGTACTTATATAACCCTAACTTCATCGGGGCAAAGCATTTCCAGGCCGGTGCTGCTGGTGGTTGCCGATGTCGACAGCATCGAAATGTGCTTCCACCCCCGCTTTGCTTGCAAGTATAAAGAGTCTCATGTTCCGAGCATGCAGTAGAGTTGAAGAAGATTTTTTTGCTGGCCTGCATGCAGTGATGCAAGGCATGCAGTGAAGTTTGCAATCATGTTTGTGTGCAGAATGCAGTGATTCGAGGCATGCAGTGAGTGATGTTTGCGGCTTCCATGGAATCATGTTTTCTGCAGATGGATGAGTCGATCGTCGTCGGCAGGGCATTTTGCTCGCCGGCAGGCATGTGAAAGCATTTTCATGTACATGTACATGCCCGGAAGCTCTTGCTTTCAAGTGAAAGATCTCAAAG